CGTTGCCATTGTGTTTTCTCGCTCGCAATAAGACCCTCTTTATTTCAATTGGTCATGATCACCGGACGAGCGTAAGGTGGTCAAGATCGATTATGGATGGCAAAAGGCGGCGAGACACTTATAAGAGACGAGAGAGGCCAGAAAACGACGAGCGAGAGAGCACAATGGCAATGTCACAACGACACGATCACCGGAGGCCGGCATGGGCCTATCGGGCGCCAATGGGCCTAAAAGCTGAGCGCGCCGCGTTTTGCTTGCTGTTTTTCAACTTTTGTAAGCAGCATAGCCTCTGACGTTGCCTGCTTGACCGTCGGGCACGGTTATGAGAACCTAGCCCTAGTTTATCGCGGAACGTGCCTTTAAATGCAGTCCGGTCAGGTGTAATCCTTGCCGTGGTGGTGGTGGTGGGTGGGGGGGGTGGTGGGGGGAAATCGGTCCGCAGCCGCATTAGTCTGCAACTTCCCCTTGTTTAAAATAACACGGGAACGACACTGGGAGTAGTGATAACCGCGTGCCATGCCTATACCTCACCCCCACTGCCTTGTTCTCTATAGCTGAGGGCGTGTTTTGCTGTGGGACATCGGTCTCGAGCTGCACCCTAAAATAGCACGGGCGGAGTTTGATGACGGCACCCAGGTATCCCTACCCACCAACTCTGCGCTTTTGACCGGAAACAGTGGACCCATTCACCTCACCTATGGCAAGGATCGACCACAATCCACGGTGGTGAACGTATATTTTGTCTCCGAAGCCAGACACTATTCAGAAATAATAGAAAAGTACCACAACTAAATATTGCGCCCTCTAACCCACCCCGTCTGTTCGGAGATCTGGGCTATTGAATCTTCTGTTGAAGTCTTGCGCAGTAACCGGCACAAAAGTCAGGAACGGCCAGACTTCCCACCTACTCCCTCCTCTTTTACCCCTTCCTGTGAGGCTCAGAGTTAAAGTATCGCGAGCGCGAAGGTGTTGTTAGAATCCTGCCGGGTTTACAGGATCGAACCTATTTCATGGCAGACGATTCCTCGACCACATTTAGATCGGAGGATGGGCACCATTACCTCGACTAGGGTCCAATTGTGCTGACCCCCTCATTTTCGGATAAGAAGGATGAGGGGTCCAATCGCAGCATTACACCCATTTGGAGTTGTAGTAGCATCGGGAGGCCCACTACGATTCCGAATTTACAATTTCCGGCATCGGATATAGCGATTGTATAGCGATTTGCCGCGTCAGCCGATTTCAAGTCAGTACTTTTATTCTCCCAGACGAGCCTAGTACCGGGTTACTGTACCTGGGAGGTAGTAAGCTTGCAACAGGAGCGCCAGGCGATTTTCTTCTTCGTGGAGCAGGTGCTAAGCCTTATAACAAATCAATGTGATATGCTGCAAATAGGACAGAGCCTGAGCACAAACTTCTGGACAAACCAAAGTTCTGACCCCAACTTCGGAAGTTGGGCAGTGAACGATGAACAGTGCCAAACTTTCTCTTCTATTAGTGAGAACTCCTCTTTCGTGAAACTTCATCTAACTTCCGAGAGTCATCTTTTGAGTTTTTTTTAAATCTTGAGTTTTTTCATAATGGTAACCTTTGCATTCGCACAATTTTCAAACGGGTACCAACTTTGATAGCTGATGGAATTAGCCGGTGTAAAGCCACAGAAGCGCAACTAATCCACCGATTCGCCGGTAATAGTCGAATTCACTACGTTAGTGATCTTCTACAATCCACCATCGAATCAAAGATCAGTGGAAAAGGTATAAAAGAGCTGGGCCATGCGGATATCTCATTTGAACCTAATATTTTCCTGCATTGTTTCTTGATACTGCTGGCAGGTGGCGAGTGCCGCTTACAAGGCGTACGATCCGATAGTCAAATCGAGGACTGATTCCCTCTGCATCAATCAAGCCCTTGGCTAGTTGTTGGCTAGGTTGAGTCCCTGAGGGGGAGGGGTATTCGGGAATTTCCGAACAAATGCAATATTTTTTTGAAAACTCATGTCGTCATTTAAGCCTTTGGATCCATATTTAGCCAGAACACCTTCTTTCATCTTCTTCGCTAAATCTGACTTTGATTTTTTCATGAAATTCAATATGTGACTTTCAGAATGAAAACGGCTATCCTTATTCTTGCTGTCGTTAGCGCTGTGCTTTGTGCTCCTCCCGGCGTGGGTCAGCATGGAGCTCCAAGCGTTGGGAATCAAGCAGAGGTCGGAGATTCTCCTGAGATGCACACGATGATAGTGCATGATGGAAATGAAGGTCCCGCCATCGCGCCAGCTGTTGCTCATCACAGACCACTTCCACCACCGTACCTTGGCAATGTCTCTGATGAAGCTCGTCAGGAATATTTCAACATTTCTTCCAACATGAATACCTCAATCGCTCAACAAAAGCAGAATATCCTTGCATGGGCTCAGAAGAATGGAGTTGAGGTTGGACTTGAGGTATAATTTTTCAAAAGTGACAGTCTCTAGAGGAAATCTCTACGGTTTATCGTTGTTCAGAGGTAATCAGATGGCAACTAAAAATCAAAATAATGACTAATAGCGTTTGTTCCTACTTGATCGTCGTTCGAAAGCACTTACGCGCTCATCCCAAGCGCTCATCGCATGCTTGTAGTCTGTTGTGCAGCCGTACGGTTTAGGAGCACTGCTTGGCTTAGGAGGGGCATTCCGCACTTTCTCTACCATTTTGCCAGTTCCTGCTAGATTACAGGTAACAGCTCAATGAGACCTGCAAACTCTTTTCAATTGTACCAGGGGTCTCCATCCGAAGCACCGGCAGTGATTGGTTGGAATCACCAATATGCTCCCTCCAAGCCGAACTTAGCCCCTTTTTCGCTGGTATCCATACGGGATGGTCAGGGAAAGCGTGTCGCTGAGATAGCCACTAAGCTGCGGATGAATTCTTTCATTCA